AGTCTGCTGAAGGATGCAAACAAGTATGCGGAGGAGCTAGCATTAACATTACAGCTACTCTATCCTAACCCATCATGCCTTAGCRCGGAAAGAAAAGAAATTCCCATCAAACAAATTATTACTGCAACACAAAGAACAGCACATCAGAAACACCATAAAAGAAGAAAAGTKGCAAGGTAAACTAATGAGCGAACGATGGAATGATGATAATATCAACGTGAAGAAGTGCTTTGGTTGGCTGAAGAAGTGGAACTCATGCCCYTYSCATGTCATAGCAGGTATGCATGAAYTTTATGAAYAACTAYTACCAACTAASTTGTATTATGCYAAGAAGATTKGCTCAGCACCTGAAAACGACCCGAAGTGTAGACTGTGCAGAACTGACCTAGAAAGTGTTCCGCACATTATAGCGGGATGTTCCACTACTAGTATAAAGAATAGCGGTTCTGGGACGGGTGGATCASGKTGGATCGTGGATCAGCCCTTGCAATGACTTCAGCCCCATAAAATGACGTCATACCCTTTATAGTGACTTCACACCTCCTCTTCGGATAGGTCATATCTATTTTTAGAACAACCCCTATTATGACGTCATAGTTCTTGAGAAGCAATCAGGGCCGCTTCTGAGCACCCTCCTGGATAGGTCACATCTATTTTTATCTATTTCTAGAATAGTCCTAGTTATGGCTTGATCAAACGCATGAGCCAATCAGCGGCTGTTTTTATTTTCCCTGTCAAAYTGTAGACTCATCAAAAAACAAACAATAAACAAAAGATGACTTGCACAAGAAACAACGACAAACACGTTTTCTCAAAAAAATAATAATAATGAAATTTAATCATAAAACGGTCAATGCATGTGAATACAAAAAAAGATTACTTACACCTCTTTTCATTATTTAACCATGCAAGTATGATGTTTTGATTGTCAGTATATATTTGTTCAATAGAAACACCCGTCATTTGAAACAATAGAGCACTGTGTTCTGCAAAATTTGCGAGTCAATCACGCGAATCAACTACTAGATGTCAAGACCACGATCTACTCTTTCTCAGTTTTACACAACAAACCGTCCATCCAATTTAAAAAAAAAAAATGTTAATATGTACAAAAAAATATTCTGAGCGTTTGTTGGCTATTCTACTTCTCTTCGTGGATTGATACGGGTTTTAGAACAATTTTCGGTAAGTTTGCGTTGATTTGACCCCCGTCCGACGACCATGATCCTTTGCGTTTAAACTATAGATTGTTGAAGATTGTTTTGATGTGACGTCATAGTGAATTAGGGCAATTGAAGCAACAGCTTAAAGGATACAAGATCGAACAGTACAACATCATGATAGACGTTTAAGGAGGATATTCAACCGACTTGGAAGAGTGCATGGGCAAGCTCTTGGGAAGAAGAAGAGGAAGTGACACACTTATAAAGATGCAGAAAGCTGTCATTTCATCTACACTGAACATTGCACGTACTTTCAAATCACTGCTA